CAGAGGTGGTTGTGGTGGTCGCGGTTTGGCGACGGATCTGCGGGGAAGGCAGAGGTGGTTTTGGTGGTCGCGGTTTGGCGACGGATCTGCGGGGAAAGCAGAGGTGGTTGAGGTGGCGGTGTCCACCTGGAAGCGAAAGGTGCCTGAGGTTGGGGCCTTGGATGAGGCCGGACCGGAAACCAGGCGTGAGCTTAGGGCGTCCAGGGACGAACTGGCAAATGCCAGGTTGTTTAAATTTTTTTAGTTTCATAAATATTATTACTTGGTTTTATTATTATTTCATTTGTAACTAGTAGGTTTTGTTATAAATATATTTCGAATTTGTTATTTTGTTTTAAATACTTTGTTGTTTTATAATCTTGTTTAATTATTAGTAGTAACTTTTGTGTAAAAATGTTTCCATAATTTAACTGCAACATGCGTATACCTATGGATGTTTTGATATGTACCTGACTTCGTTAATTAATCGTATTAGAATGTAATTACGGTTTTTCTTTATAGTTTTGTTTTGTGTAATGTTCTTCTTGATTGTTTTTATGTATAATTGTATTTGGCAATATGTGTTTGGCATTTTTTTTAAGGGGGAGATAATGTGGTGTATATGTGGGTATGCCAATAATAATGTACCGTCAGTGTTGCTAATAATAAATCAGTCCAGTACCAACCGCCGTTTCATTAACACACCTACATTACATTGGATTATACATGAAAGTGTATAAGACCATTTTACGTGTTTTTTTGCGGCAGCTACCTACTGCGCCTGAGGGGAGTCTGTGCCCAAATTCCACTACGACTACATCTGCGAGCGGCGAGATGTTAAGATCAAACACGTCAATATGACGGATCCCAACGAGCGATTCAACGTACGCAATCCGGTGGTGCGCCGCGCGGAGTACTACAGGGCTCCATACGACATCCTGAAGGCATGTCCCGACTGGTCGGTTGCATATTCTCACAAAATAAATATATGTTTGTGGACACTATTGTAGTCAACCTATTTGTTGGATGGCAATCTTTATCTAGTAGACTTTTGTGATGTTAAAATAGGTACGGTTGCAACTTGCGCATCGCGCCGGAGTCCATGCACCAAGAGCTACCGGCCGCGCTTCTCGACGCCAACGAGACTGCCTTCGTCGGCCACGGCGGCAAGTACTGGCTCGCTCTCTACTACACACAGGTATCTTTATATTTCATGCTTTATTTCTTCTTAATCTCCTCAGTTCTTAAGTATTGCAGTGTATTAGACCCGTCATAGTTGATAAAGGACAGATATTACTCTGGCCAAATGTGTCGGAACGTCCGAACGTCTTTGCTCCTGTGTGTCTACCGCAGACATTTTTAATAACTATGTATTATAAAAATATAATGAATAATTACAACAATTACATTAAGTACATTTCTTAGTTTCATAGATCTAAAACGTGTAATTTATTATCTTGACTAAGTTATGTTGGTTTGTTTCAGCTTGCAACTTACGCTATATACTTCCAAGCTCATGGCGAGTACCCGTGGCAGTCGAACCGACCTATCGTCTCCGTCGATAAAGGTTTGCCGGAGTATTTATAAATATATGCATTAAACGATTCATAATTTTAAAAAATCAGTTCGACCTTATAATGTTATCTTTGTACAGGTGGCATATGGGAGCAACTGCTGAAGGCAAACATCGGTCCGGACATGAACCTGCACTACAATCTAAACGGCATCTTCAATCGCTACCCAGGAGGGAACGTTGCACCAGATCTGATGCGCAATGAAGGACAGGTCTGTTATTATGGCTCTATTTTACAAATTTGTTTAAAAAAATACTACCCGTTTTTCTGATTGAATGTTGCAATATACGTTATTAAGCACGTACATATAGAGAAAGAAATATTGCTTCCAGGTGCAACCGGCCAACTTTAGGTCTGAAAGCCGAGATGGCGCGCCAGAGGACCTCATAATTGGCAACGCGCATCTTGTCAATGGACCAGGTATGCCTGGACCTCCTACATCCACTACCATACTATCCAAACTTTGGCGTTTATAACATTAGAATTAAATAATGAATTCAGTAGTATGATTAATCAACTCCTAAACTAAAGAAAAGATACTTAATTTTTCAGATGCTGAGACAGGAAGTGCGAATTACAACAAATTCATACACGACTCTCAAGTACAAGCCACTTTCGACCACTCAAAGAATATATAACATTTAGTGCATTCCTTCAAATTTTATTACAATAAATATAATTACATAATTTGTGTAATGCTTTATTATCCTATAAATGTAAAGTGTTCAGAGCGAAATAATTTACAAATATAATCCAATTTAGTTTGGAGTACCTTAAAATCATCACGTCACTGTCATTACGACAACGTCAAATCAATACGTCAACATCAAATCTGTACGTCAAGTCGCCATGACGTGTATAGGGTTGCCAGTGTGCATACATTTGCCAAAATGGAGGGACAATTTAAATTGCTTTTTGATCAAATGAAAAATGAGATGGAAAAACAAACAAACATTATATTCGAAAGAATGGATGAACGACTAGAACCCTTGATAGAAGAAAACAAAGTCATGAAGAGCAAAATAGAAGTTTTAGAAAGAAAAATTGACCAATTAGAGAAGGAAAAGAAAAAAAATAATCTTCTTATATTTGGAATAGAAGAGGAAGAAGAATCTACTTTAGGATTACTGGAAATAGTGCAGAATACAATTAAATCAGATTTAGAGATTTCTCTGGAAACAAAAGACGTATCAAGGATTCACCGAATTGGAGCCATCAAGGAAAATAAAATTCGACCCGTACTTATTACTTTCACGGATACTTGGAAAAGAAGGGAGATATTAAAAAATAAAAGGAGTTTGAAGCAGGTATATGTTACTGAAGATTTTCCGAAAGAAGTATTAGAAAAGCGAAAAGAATTACAAATAAAGGTTAAAGAGGAGCGTGCTAAAGGGAATATAGCGTATATAAAATATGATAAGATAGTAGTCAAAGAAGGCCATTTAGTCAAAGAAAAAAGGAAAAGAGATCAATCAACATCACCAGAAAATCAAAGTTATGCCAAAAAACTGGTTAGCAATAATTCATTGATAAAGGAAAATAGGAAAAACGCTTTCGACATGATGAGACCTCGCTCCAGTTCATTATCATTGACGAAACCTAACCAAATTAAGTAGCAATTAAACACCAGCAACCAGAAACGGAACAACCCCAACCCGGCTGGTCACCGTGGGGTTGCTAGACCATTACCCCCTAAAAGTATGTCTTCAGGTTCAAAACTAAAAAGTAAATTATACCTAGCAACATTAAACGTCAGAACATTAATGGAAGACCACAGATTAATAGAATTAGAGCATGCTATAAGTCAAATAAAATGGGATATTATAGGACTTTGCGAAGTAAGAAGATCAGGAGACGAGATAAGAGAATACAATAAATATATATTTTACTATAAAGGCGAAAAGAAAGGAAGGCGTGGTATAGGGTTTCTTATAAACAAATACCTAAAGGATAAGATAATTAGTTTTGAAGGAATATCAGATAGAATTGCAGTTCTAAACATATAACTGAACGGATTTAAACACCCGATGTCGATTATACAAGCATATGCCCCAACCGAACAGGATACAAATGCAGAGAAAGACAAATTCTACGAAAAACTGACTGAAGTTATACAAAAGTCTAATAAAAATATTATAGTCATGGGAGACTTTAATGCAAAGACAGGAGTAAAATCTAACAAAGACGAATTCGTACTTGGAAAAAATAGCTGCGGAGAACGAAACGAAAATGGACAACGGCTAATAGATCTTTGCTTTGCGTCGAATCTGAAAATAGCTAACAGTTTTTACAAAAAAGAAAAGTCAAGTGGACGTGGATGTCTCCAAACGGAAGGAACAGAAATGAAATTGATTTCATTCTGACAAGAGAAACTCGAATACTCTCTGATGTAAGCGTAATTAATAAATTAAATTTCAGTACTGACCATAGAATGCTAAGAGGAACTTTAATATGTGAAGACAAGAATTCAAGGAAACATATTATATCAAACAAAAATGGTAAAACAATAACGGTACCACATAACATACTAGAAGACATAGAAAAAACGTTACAGGACATCAAAAAACAACAAACTATACAAGATAAGTACGACTTCCTGGAAAAAACTCTCAAAGAAGTTAACATATTCGGAACGAAAAGGGGAAAACGAAACAAATTAAATGAAGAAACAAAAAAAATATTAGAAGAAAGAAATGAACTACTGGACAACCGAAGAGAAAACCGTCACAGCATAGCGAATATTAGTAAGAAAATACAATCGTCAATCAGAAAACATAGGAAGGAAGAACGGTTGAAAACATTAAAAGAGCAAATAGAAAAAACGGGTGGAATGACAAAGGGGCTAAAACAACTAAAAGAATATTCACAATGGATACCTAACATCAAACTACAGAAGAAGAAAGAAACATACCGGATAACTTCAAGAAGATCATCAATAGCTAAGACTGCGACAGAATTCTACAAGCAATTATACACAGAGAGTGGCGAATCAATAGTTGCGAGCAAAAATATTATTGAAGAAGGAGATAGTAACGAAGAAGAAATACCAACAATATTAGAAACAGAAGTTGCTGGAGCGATTCGATCGCAGAAAAATGACAAAGCGCCTGGAGACGATAAAATTCCGAACGAACTATTAAAAAGCACATTATCATCGATAACCAAAGCCTTAACCATCTTATTCAACGAGATCATAAATAGTGAGCAAATTCCCGTTCAATGGACAAAGTCTACTATAACCTTGTTACACAAGAAAGGAGACAAACAAGACATCAACAACTATAGACCCATATCCTTAATGTCAAATATTTACAAAGTGTTCTCAAAAGTAATACTCGGCAGAGTGACCCAAACATTAGATGCAAACCAACCAAGGGAACAGGCAGGTTTTCGCGCAGATTATTCTACAATGGACCATATTAATGTTGTTAAACAGATCATAGAAAAATGTAATGAATATGGTCAGAACTACTACTTAGCATTCGTAGATTACAGTAAGGCCTTCGATTCCCTGAGTCATAATTACATTTGGAAGACGCTAGCCAGTCAAGGTATAGAGAGGAAGTACATAAACATTATTAAAGAGATATATAAAAACTCCACCGCAAAAATACAACTAGAACAAGTAGGAGAAGAATTTAAAATCGAAAGAGGCGTAAGACAAAGAGATCCACTTTCGCCTAAAATATTTACAGCTGTACTTGAAAACATATTCCGAAATATCGATTGGGACAAGTTTGGCATAAACATCAATGGAACGAAATTGAATCATCTTAGATTCGCGGATGGCATTGTCCTGTTTGCCGAGACACCAGAGACGCTTAGAACGATGCTGCAGCAACTAGACCAGGAAAGCAGAAGAGCGGGCTTATCTATGAACCCAATGAAAACAAAATTGATGACAAACGCAGAAAAAGATATTATAGAATTGAGACATGAGATAATAGAATACGTTGACGAATACATATATTTAGGACAAATTATATCTGTATAAAACCAACACTCAAAAGAAATAGACAGAAGAATAAGCAATGCCTGGAAACGCTATTGGTCACTTAAAGAAGTAGTTAAAAAGAAATCTATACCAATGTCAATCAAAACCAAATTATACAACACATGCATTCTCCCTTGCCTAACGTACGGATGCCAAACTTGGCCTTCCACGACCAAACACAACTTAAAACTTGCAAACTGTCAACGACACATGGAACGAAGCATGCTCGATATAAAGTTAAGAAACCGATGGAGAAATGTAACAATAAGAGAAAAAACAAAAGTAAATGACGTCTTCAAAAAAATTAAAAAACTAAAGTGGAATTGGACAGGACACATTATTAGGACAAATACAGGAAAATGGACAAAAGACATCATGGATTGGTACCCCAGAGAAGGAAAAAGACAAAGAGGACGACAAATAAAAAGATGGGAAGACGACCTACCGAAGGGATGGAGACGATTAGCGCGCGATAGAGAGACGTGGAAGAAACTAGGGGAGGCCTATGTCGAAGGACAACCTGACACGCAATTGGAT